CCATGGGACACATGGAGATCACTTGTTAGATAAACAAGACTAGTGCCTTTGAGAAAGAAACAAAATTGGGTGGGAGGAGAAATGTTCCCTTGGTTCCTTTATGAAGCTCTTTTCTGGCTATGTTAGTGTAAATGTTTTAGTTAATGGCTGACAAGGAAACTAGACATGGGATAAATGGATTCAAGATGGCTCCTATTGTGCTAATTGCCCTGCTTGCTACATAATTTGCTACCTGCTACAGAGGATTCAGTTTCATGTGGAAAATTCTCAGGCAGCACAGCTTCTCTATTCTTTTTTTTTTCTTTCCTCCAAGACAGTTTTAGGCTCATTGTTAGGATTCAGTAAAACTATTATCTGTTTGCATTTTGTTATTTAATACAGCCATCAAAACTACTGTTTTTTCTCACTACAGCTTCCTTCAGTAACATAGCAGGAATAGTGTGAAGTGGTTGGCTTGAGGTTTATTAGTGGCCAGAGTTTTCAACAGCCCAGTGGCAAAAATAGTTAAATAAAAGTAAGGTATGGTCAACACATAGAAGGTATATTGATTTATATTTTTAAAACTGGGGGAAAGAGCTCAAAATATGGGTTTTATTTTAGCTAGCAAAGACACACATAATGATACATATTAATTCAGTCCAATTCCTTGTTAGGAATACTTGTTTCCTTACTAGAAGAGAATTTGTTTGATGTCTGAATTTATAAAGTGATGTCCAGTATTTTTGAAGAAGGATAGAATAATACTCAACTCAAGTCCAAACCAGTGAAAGGAAATAGCATATTATGAATCCCATTACATTAGTGAATCAGCATTCCTCCACAAGCATCATGCAGGAAAGTGCACAGTTCCAAAAGACTTTGTAGAATAGGCACCAATTATTAAAATATACACAAAGGAGCAAAGGGGAAAAAGAATATACACATTTGTCCTGAGAAGTGAAGAGGACATTTTCTAACAGCTGTGATGCTTCACTGTAGCCTTTTTCAAAAACTAGGATTTCTGTACATTTTCTTTCTAAATTGCTTCCAATTTATACATAGCAGCTTGAAATGTGTCTTGCATTTAACCGAGTTCACCTAAGGTCAGCTTTCTTTGTGAGCAGCAAACAAGACATAATCTTCTGTCTGGAAGCTCAGTGGAGGGTACAGTATACTCTCTTGAGATGCAGAAAATGTACATGTCTGATGATTCACTGTCCAGACAGATTTTGCTTTCGAATTATTAAAGTACTTCACAGTCTTAAATAGCACCACTGCTGTTGAGCAGTATTTTAAATTCTAGCTTGTCCTAAGTTCTATTTTCTTATTAATGGAAGAATTTACTGAGGAAATGTAGGGATGAGGTAGGCTTTTGAAGATGAAGTTGGCATACAAATGTATTGTAAGGGAAGTTTATCCACTCTGATTGCTGGTCCCAGTGGTAGTGTGAATTTTGCATGATCTTTGATATGGCTTTTAGCCTTTAAAGTTCTCTCTCTTTGCAACTATAAAATACATATAATTGAATGTGATGGAATATAGGCTTCAACTGATTGTTTTGGTAGTTTTTAAGAGATATTTTCAGCATTATAAGATCATTTTTAAATTGGTGCTTAGCTTTTAATTTGCTGGACTAGTTTTCTAAGGTTGAAATTTTTCTAAAGGTGCAGTCCTATGCATATAACTGCTAGGATTTCTTTATGTCTAAACATGCATGGGATAGTACCCTAAATTCTTGAAATGTTAATGAGGAAACTATAGGATTAAAGCTACAAGAGAAAACCATTTCAAACCAAGGCAAGTGAAATGACCCTCTTTGGCATTAGGTCCTGCTGCTGGCATACATTTACAACCCTCAAATCCATCAAGACAATCTTGTCTGGTAAACCAGATTCTAGTTGAATGTAGAATATGACTGGTTTAGGATGATTCACTGGCGGAAGTTGTGGGTCTAAAGATTTGTGGAAAATAGGCTGTCCGCACACACTGATAAATTGGGGTACACTTCCAATGTAAACCAGCATTAGGGCAATTCTCAACCAGCAACAGGGTGCAGCTCATTAAACTGAAGAAGAAGAGCTAGAATCTCCTTCCCTTTTCCCTTCTATCACTATGTATATTTTTGTCTGTCTGTCTTTCCTCTCCTTTCCTTTGAATAAATATTGTATGCATGAACATACCTAATATGAAAGACTGGTGTAGAGTCATTGGAATGAAAACCCCAGGGATATGGCAAAGGAAGACGGTTTGTACCTCCTTAGACATATCTCTGCATGCAAAACTGGCAACTGCTATGCCAAGCCATTGTGCCAATTTTCTTTAAGATGTACTTGTTGCCTTGCCTTTCCTCCTTTGGCAGACTAGTGAGAGTGCTGCTGTGGCAATACTCACTTTGCTAGATCTTCTGTGCATTCTTTCTATCTTTCCAGTTTTTTTTCCATGTTCAGCAGCCCTTGCGCTTGCTATAGGTGCTTTATGGCATAATATTGTTGTCAGGATTCACAAGCTAATTACATTCACCTCATTGCATTGCTCATTCCATGCCCAGAATGGTGCTTTCTTGTTGTTGAACAATCTCTGCTTAGCCTGATCAGAGGTTATAAGCATGATATATGAGACCAGACAGATGGATTATTTAGGGGCTAAACAAACCACTGGTTAACCCAACAGCGAACTGTGGTGGTCGTTTAGAATGACTTGTAAGTGAGACACATCCTCACTCAAAAGTGAGACACTGTGGGCCTGTGTAAAACATTTATTTCTGTATTTGAATCATATTCTGTATTTATTTAATATATTGGCACTTTTATCATAAAGAAATCAATATGTCTAGCAGTGAAATTTAACTAGTGTGATACAATTTAAGCTTTTTAAACTAATTGTACAATTGCATTAAGTTAGTACAGTCTCCATATTTTATGATGAATTGTCTCATTTTATTAGTCACTTTTTCTTCTACTTTTTCAGTCATAAACAGGAAATGGTCTGCAGTTCAGCATTATGTGTATTATGGCTGAACTGTATTATGATCTCAAAAATATGAAAATCATCCAGAACTACACCGAAATAACCCTTCTTCTTTGTGGTCTCTGAATCACACATATGGGCTCTGTGTCTGTGTGGAACCTGTTGTTAGGAAGATTCTATAGCTTAAGCATTCAATTGGGTGGGAGTCCCTCTCCTTCCTGTTCTAAGGATATGTGGGAGGGACTCCTGCCCATTCCATCACATCTTTTTTTGACCGCCATTATGCCTAGATCAGGAAAGTTTCTTTTCTCTAACTTTTTAATTAATTAATTTCTATACTACCCTGCAGCCAAAGCTCTCTGGATGGTTTACAACAAGGTATAAAACAAAACAATAAAATACAGTAGAGATAATATAAAACAGCATTGTGAAAAAAACTTAAAATTAATTTAAAATAACTTAAATTACAACAAAAGAATTACCAGGATAAACCCCTCAGGCCTCTGCATAACCAGAGAGCTCTTTAAAGGTCTGTACATAGAGAGTAGTCTTGATGTGGCACCAAAAAGATGTGAAATTTGGTGACAGGTGAGCCATAGCAGAGATACTTTCCAAAATGGGGGCCACCACAGAAAAGGCCTTCCCCCGAGTTGCCATCCTCTGAGCCTCTCATGGAGTTGGCATTCAGAGAAGGCCTCAGAGGTTGAACATGGTATCCAGGTAGATCAGGGCTGGGAAAAGCACTCCAACAGATATTGCAATCCCAAGCTGTGTAGGGCTTTATAAGTTAAAAGCAGCACTTGAATTGGGACTGGAAGCATACAGGCAGCCAATGCAGGTGGGACAGAACTAGTCTTAAATGTTTGGACCTACAGGTCCCGGTTATTAATTTGGCTGTTGCATTCTGCACTAGCGGAAGCTTCTGAATCATCTTCAAGTTGAGTATCTTCAGCATTCTTCAAACCTTTCCTACAAAAATATATATTTCTCTCCACTCTCTCCACTGTCACATCCCCTTTCAAACCACCACCCCCATCTATATTTTTCCTTGTCTTCACACAACCAACCCACCACCTGCATGTAGTGTGGTCCTTCTGACAATTGCCCCCTTGCTTGTGTTGCCCCCTCGAAGGAGTGGCACAACACTCCTTCCTCACTCCTGGGTGCTATGCATGTCCCAATGGAACTGAAGAAATGGGCAGAATCCCTCCTACAAAACCCTGACACAGGAAGGGGAAGGACTCCCGCCGAGTCAAACACTTAGCTATAGAATCTTCCCAACAAGCTCCACACAGACACACAGCCCATATGTGTGAATGCACAGATGACCACTTGAAGAACGACAGTTACAGGTAAGCAACCTGCATTTTCCTCCACATTGAAGTTGCATTTGTTTCACTTTTCTTAAGATCATCATTTAAAGTGTAATAGAAATTAATCAGGAAAATGTTGACCTAGATATTTTGTCAAACTGCCTTGCTTTTTCCTCAGCATTTATTTCTGATTTCCTAAATACTTGTGCAGATTCCCAAAACAGAAGAATTATGCTTTTTTGCTCCTTTTGTGTTCTCAGAAATATCATAGCTAATTAGGATATAAATATTTACACATAGTATTTCCTCAGTATTTTTGGTTTGGAGCTTGCCATGGGGTTGTGACTTTGAATCTTAAGGTTTATCTGAACTTTAGGAATAAATCACTTGAAGGCTGTTGTTGTTTTTACATTCCACTAAGTTTTTTGTAAAGTTAATAAGGGGTACAAGTGCAAGGGGTCAGTTAAAACCAAACAAAGTAGATTATTTCTCTCCAACCTAGTGCTCTCCGGAAGTGCTGAAATGCAACTTGCATAATTCTAAGCCACCATGGCAATCCAAACATGTTTGCAAGGTGCCCAGTTGGTTAAGGTTGCTTGACCATCTTTTACTTGTTTAGTACATTCTTATCTTTGGGATCATGTTCAGATAATGGATATTTTAGGGCAGCACTTTAAAAGGAAAACTCTGAATTTTCCATGATAAAATGTACTTCATAGATACATTTTGTTTGTTTTTTAGGGGTTCCAACTCCAAGTCCTGAAATCCTTCGTCATACCTTAAACATGCTTGTACGAGAGAGGAAAATATACCCAACTCCAGATGGCTACTTCATTGTGACCCCGCAGACTTATTTTATAACACCATCCCTTATAAGAACTAACAGTAAATGGTACCATCTGGATGAGAGGATACCTGACAGGTCTCAGTGTACCTCTCCACAGCAAGGAACTATAACTCCTTCCACCTCGGGCTGCGTCAGAGACCGAACATTACCCAAAAACCACTGCGACTCTTGCCATTGTTGCAGAGAAGACTTGCACAGTATGCATGCCTCCACTCTACAGAGGAAATCAGCAAAAGACTGCAAGGACTCCTATTGCCCCCCTTCTCTGTGCCAGGTGCCACCCACTGAAAAAAGTAAAAGTACTGTAAATTTTTCTTACAAAACAGAGACACTTACAAAGCCTAAAGATGGAGAAAAGCAGTCTAAGAAGTTTGGGCTAAAATTATTTCGACTCAGTTTCAAAAAAGATAAGACAAAGCAGTTGGCTAATTTTTCTGCCCAGTTCCCTCCAGAGGAATGGCCCTTGAGAGATGAAGATACACCCACTACAATACCTAGGGAAGTAGAGATGGAGATTATTAGGCGTATCAACCCAGATTTGACTGTAGAAAATGTCATGAGGCACACTGCACTAATGAAAAAACTTGAAGAAGAAAAAGCTCAAAGAAGCAAGGCTGGATCTTCAGCCCATCAGAGTGGGAGGAGTAAAAAGAGTAGAAGTCATAGGAAGTCTCATGGAAAATCTCGGTCACATAGCAAAACCAGGGTCTCTAAAGGAGATCCTTCAGAGGCTTCCCATTTGGACATACCAGGTGAAAGAGAGTATGATTTCTATGATCCCCTCACAAGATCTCCACGGGAAGGCTGTTTCATAATAGAACACAAAAGGGACAATTTTATCATGCACAGCAGCCCTAATGTTCTTGAATCTCATTTTCCAATGACACCTGAATGGGATGTATCAGGAGAACTTGCCAAAAGGAGGACTGAGATGCCTTTTCCTGAACCTTCAAGAGGAAGCTCTCATTCTAAGGTCCACCGAAGCCACAGCCATACACAGGACCGAAGGTCAAGAAATGAGAGGTCAAATAAAGCCAAGGAGCGATCTCGATCAATGGATAATTCAAAAGGACCTTTGGGTGCAGGTCCTTTAAGTACACCTGAAGACATAGCTGAAGCATGCAGTCAAGATGACCAAGCAACCAGCCAAACATACATTGACGATAGCACCTTACGGCCTTCACAATCACTCAGTCATCAAAGGGCTCTGATGTCATCTTCAAACTACAAAGAGATAGTTAAACCCGAAAAGACTGCAGAAACCCCCACTTCCTGTACCCTATTGGAACAAAACAAGCCAGCAGAAAATTTACCACCTTATAATGAGCTCAACTCTTGTACAACAAAATCAGCCATTGATGATTATTTTCAGTGTAACACTTCTAGCGAAACTGTACTTACTGCCCCTTCCCCTTTGGGGAAAAATAAAGATGACCATGACACAATTACTTTGACAGATAGTATTAAAAAAGTGTCTCCATCAGAAAGACAGTCACAGCACATAGCCAGAGAACCTGGAGTGCACAAAGAGGAGTCACCTAAAGGGCCAAGCAACATCAGCGGGCCAGTCGCTACTAGCCAAACCCCAGAAGTGATTGCAAACGGCCGACTGGTTCAACATCACAACACAGAATCTAGTAGCCTTGATAAGAGGAAAGAAATATTTAGCAAAGATACACTTTTTAAGCCTCTCCACAGTACCCTATCAGTTAACAGTTTTCACAAGCCTAGTGTGCCACTACTAAAACCTCATCAAAAGACACCTTCTGACACATTGCCAAGCAGATGTGACAAACTCGAACAAGCTATGGTAACCTCAGTTACTCAAGTCATGCCTGTTTCACAGAGACAGCAAGAGACAGCTGGAAACCAAGAAGCATCCTTTGATTATTACAACGTATCTGATGATGATGACTCTGAGGAAGGGACAAATAAGAACACTGAAGAAGAGAAGAATCGGGATGATGTGGGCACTATGCAGTGGCTCCTTGAGCGGGAAAAAGAAAGAGACCTGCAAAGGAAGTTTGAGAAGAATCTCACTCTCCTTGCTCCAAAAGAAACTGAAAACAGCAACAACCAGAGAGCCACACATTCTGCAAGGCTGGACAGCATGGACAGCAGCAGCATCACAGTTGATAGTGGGTTCAATTCTCCACGGTAAGACCTTAAAATTAATTCATCAGAGCCTATAATATTTTAATCTTACATTATGATATGTGTATTGGTCTTAATGAGCATTATATAAAGTTTGGCTTTGCTTTATTTTATGGGGTTTTATGATAGTCCATACAGTCTACCAAACACTTCCAGGGTGAACACCCTTACCCTAGGTTGCTTGGTCATCTTTATCACAGTACTGAGGATTTTACCTCCCTTCAAGTACATATGTATGGCTAAATGCTTGCCTGTAGGGGCTATATATCTAAGGCTTATAGATGCATGGACCTCCCATAACTTGGAAGAGTCAAGCTGCCGTTAACACTCTTGGATTGTTATGACATCACTCTTTGTTTGTAATGAATAGCAAACTTCCCACTATTGTGCATGTTTATGGTATTGTTAAGGGATGCAGGTAGCGCAGTGGTTTAAACTGCTGTGCTGCTGGGCTGGTTGATCGAAAGGTCGCAGGTTCGAATTTGCACCATGGGGTGAATTCCCGTTGCTCCATCCCAGCTCCTGCCAACCTTGCAGTTTGAAAGCATACACATGCAAGTAGATAAAAAGGTACCACTTCGGTGGCTAGGTAACAGCGTTCTGTGCATTTCGGTGTTTAGTCATGCTGGCCACATGACCACAGAAATTGTCTGTGGACAAACGCTGCCTCCCTTGGCTAGGAAATGGAGATGAGCAGTACCCCCTAGAGTCAGACATGACTGGATTTAACGTCAAGGGGAAACCTTTACCTTTTTACCTTTTTACCTTTTTATGGTATTGTTCAGACCAAAGTAATTATGAAAAAGCCCCTAAATGTGGTGTATTCACTTAAGTTTAATCCCAGGCTGACAAGTTAAAATAGTTAAAAGATTCTTTTCAGGGGATTTATTCAGGTGCCGCTGAGCATGGGCAAAGGCAAGGAGTAGAACAATGATGCCCTTTGCTCTTGACTCTTACAGATCTCTTCAGCAGTTCTTCCAGGTTCTGTGGCTTCCTTAGGTAGTGGGGAAGCAGTTGAAATACTCAGATTTGGTGATTATACAGTGGTATTTAACATGTGTGACATTTTTCCTTCAAAGACATCTCTTTGGGGAGAAGTTTGTCATGTATACAGTGGCATGGTTAATTTGGTCAGAATGCTGTGTGGATCTGGGAAGAGATCCTGCTTTCCTGACAGCTGCTTCTTGTTGCTACTGCAGACCTCAGTACCTGAAAGGATAGGTTCCTGTGCCAAGGGCTATGATTACTAGCTTTTCAGAGCATCTACAGATGTTGCTATTGTCTTTATTTTCTGGTCTGCTCCCATGGAATGATGCTGTTATTTCTCAAATGGCCCTATCTACTTCTAAGCCTGTAGCTTTTGGAGACCAGTCCCCCCCCCCCAGAAAAAAAAGTATTTATTCAGATAGTTTCATTAACTTAATTGTCGCTATCAAGCAACCTGCCTCTTATACTATTTTACATAAGGCCTGAGGAAACATGCAAAGAGTTCTAAGTGATGACAGCTGCCTTTTCCAGTGTACATGTAGAGAAAGGATTCTAATTGGTGCTTCAGTCAAGGCATCTTTGTGTCAGTTTTATGGACCTGCCATTCATATTGTTTTGAATGTAGGAGGCATGTCTTCTTTCCTTCTTGAAGGATTTGTAATCTAATCTCTCTCAGATTCTTTCTTACTTTCTCATTCCCTCTCCCATTCTCTGTCTCAAATGGAGCACTTTTCATTCCTTTCCTCATTCCATGTTTGATTTGCCTTATTCTTTACTAGCTCAGAGAAGTTTAGGACATGTATGCAAAATCTCAGTGCAGATTAGTTTCTGCCCTTTAAATGGCCTTTTATCAGCATTTTCAGATTCATATTGGGGTGGATTTCCCTGCCAGTGTGTGTGTAGCGAAGTTGTTTGAGTTGCAGTAACTGTGAGTTACCACAGATGATACTGGTTAATCTGCAACCTTCTCCCACTCACACTTATGCTCTCCTCTCCCATATGCAATTTACCAGTTTGTTCTTTAGTGAAAATCACAACAAACACTGTTAAATAACATAAAACAAATAAACCATAAATTTCAGTAATCTTCAAATCCTCAAACTGTGCTTAGTGCTTGCCCTGTGGATTTCTGATTCTGATTTGAACATCTCAACAAAGTAAATTATACTTCACACTAAGCTTCATACTGAATAGGAAATGGATAGGGAAGTCTCAGAGAAGACTTGTGAAGTCCAATCCTTGGTTTAAGGCTTCTGTTTCAGACTAATACATATAGAAAAATTATAATATGTATTCATGTGGACTTTGATTTCTACTGCAGTTTGCTGTAACTGTCTCTTTCATAAGACACTGTTCAACCATTAGGTTATAATTTCATGCAAAGTTATAACTGCATAATTACAGTTAAAATGGCAAGATTATGATGACAATACAGAATAATGTGCACTATTGCTGATTATGCATCTTAGCATTATATTTGTCTAATTTGTTATTTTATGTAACTTTATGGTAAGTATATTACAAACTGTATGCATTCACTCAAATAGAAGATATACAGTCATATCAATTTCCATCTGGAAGGTCATTAACTTTCCATCCATCCAACCAGCTTGACCAAATCATCTCTTCTGATAATTGTAAAATGAATATTAGATACTGGAGAGAAATAAGAGTATCATCTCTATTTCCCTCGCTGTGTTATTTATCTTTCATGATTTCTGAACTTACCTTTTGGTGATTCCAGAGGTTGCTGTTCTGGAACATTATCCAAGCACCTGAAGTGGCACTTAGGATAATGAAAGAAAAATACTTGTCTGAAAAAGAATCCAGTTTGGTGTTACAGTTAGGTCAGCATGCTTGTTCAACCACAGCAGTCAAATTGCTGCTGTGAACTCCAGTCAGTATTTCATAATACCATATTCCTATTGTACATATCCAATGCTATATTTTCCAGGCATGTCCATTTTGATGAGGTGTCACTCCAGAATTATGGTATCTTGAGGAAACTACTGGCTGTAATAGTGTGCTTGGAGAAGAGCAATTGGCTGTTAGAAAAGATTTGCCATAAGATAACTTCACATGAGTTAGACAATGAGTGAAAATGTGCTTGGGGTAGCAAGAAGAGGACAAAAGAATAGGAAGTACCTTCCTGTTATTCTTAACATTAGCCTGATTTATATCTAATTATGTAAGCAGCACACTGAAATGAATGTTTCTATCCACAAAAAGCATCAACCAGTGATTAGAACAACTAGGAAAACTGAAAGAAGAAACTAAAGGAAATCATAAGCAAATGTATGGCCATTGTCTTGGATGCTCGCGTGATTTTTCTATTTGTGCTTCATTATCCAGCATCAATTGCTGTACTTGTAGTCCCACCCACTTTCCATTACTGATTGCCCTCAGATCCATGTTTTGATGGCCAGCATTGCTTCCTAAAATATATATAACTTCAGTCTTTCATCATGTTTGCCAGATAAAAATTATGAAAAAGGTGTCATGGTGGAAGTATGTTCTGTATTAGAGATTCTATTTAAAGCCTTTTCCCTGAAGTGTTATGTATGCTGCATAAGGAGGGATAAGTGCCACTGCTCAGTGGAGCCTGTGATATAACAGCAATTCTCATATATTAGTTCAGTCATGCAGCCAACAACTGATCCAGGGTGACCCTGTTCTTGTGTGCACCAGTCTGGAATGCAAAGGTGCTACATTTCACCTGCAATATTGACAAATTCACTTGGATTACAAATTCAGCATTCTAATAAGGGCTCAATATTCCATTCTGAGTCTTTAACATCTTAGTATATTAATTCTTAATAATAATTAGAATGAATATTCAGTGTTCATGAATTACATTCTGCTTAGCTACATGGCTTATTTTCTGTGTTCTGTTTTGTTTTTAGTATGATCACTAAAGATGAACTCCTAAAGTCTGTTTTGGAAGGAGCTTCTATATATGTGTGCACATGCATTTATTTTTTAATTTTTCTTCTTATATGCCACCCTATTCCAGTTATTTTCTGGGTGGCTTACAAGAAATTAAAACCAACAATAATTAAAATTTACTAAAACCCAAATATACTAAATACAACTGATCTGAGAACTAATCTGGGACAGACTGTCAGAAGAGATAGGTCTTTAACTCCTATCAGTTAGGAGAAGGTAGCAAACTGTGATATCAGATGCACCTTTCCTGGCAGACCATTCCATCAGTGAAGGGCAACCACTGGAAAAGTCCTCTGGGTAGTTGACATTAATCTTGCAGAAGCAAACTTCAGAAGATTATCCGCAGAGGACCCTAGCTGCCAAGGCAAAATATATGGGTGTGTTTTAGGTATTTTCAACCCAAGCCATGAAGGACTTTAAAGGTAGTTACAACACCTTGTACTATATCTGGAAATGTATTGACAGCCAGTGCAAAATCTTTAAAATAGGTGATATGCTGGCCTGGCTGCCATATTTGTGCAGATTAGGCACAAGGTTAGCCCTATGTAGAGCTCATTGCAGAAATCAGAAATCAAGTCCAGAAGTTACCAATGCATGCACTACTGTCAGGTCATTCTCCTCCTGGAAGGGATGCAGTTAATGAATCAACTGATAGCAGATACTCTTGACCACAGCTTCTATCTGTGCTGACATCTGAAGGGGCAGGTCAAGCTGTACCCCCAAACTATGAGCACAGTCTTTTGGGAGCATTGTGACTCCATCTAGAACCAGTTGACATACACCTAATCTTGAATTCGGACTCTTAACAGCAAGAAGTTCTGTTTTGTCTGGATTCAACTTCAGTTTGATTTTCCCCATCCTTTCCATTACCAGCCTCAGGCAGTCATGCAGAGAGGAGATACTGTCTGTAAAAGAAAAAATAGATATGATGGTAAGGAGTAGATCTGGGTGTCTTTAGCATATGGATTACACCCTACACTACTCCTCCAGATGATTTCTCCTAGCATCTTCATCTAGATGTTAAACAGCACTGGAGACAGAATGGAGCCCTGTGGGACACCACAAGTCAACTCCTTGTTGGAGGAGCGAAAGTCTCTAAGCATCACCATCTGGAACCAACCTGAGAGGTAGGAACAGAACCACAGCAGAGCAGTGCCTTAAGTGCTTAACTCCCTCAGACAAACCAGAACTATTGTCAACACAACCAACAGGGACACTCTCCCCCTGTCAATTATAGATCATCTGCTCGAGTGACCAAAGCAGTGTGAACTCCGTGTCCTGCTTTGAAGCCAGTTTGAAATGTGTCCAAAAAATCAGTGTCACTCAGAACTGCCTAGAAGTGGAAAAACACTGCCTTCTTGATCACCTTACAAAGAAATAGTATGTTTGAATGTGATCCAAACTTGTTAAGGTCCTGGGGGTCCAAATTAGGGCCATCCAATAGCATCCTTCAGGCAGGCAAAAACCCTGCCTTCTTTTAAGGGGAGACATTGATGATAAGACATAGTAGCTCCATCAGTGCTGCCACCTCCTTATCCAAAACATTTTCTTTGCAAAATTATTGTTGAAAGTGTCACAGCAAGCAACTGATTATGCTAAAGATAGGTTAGGGAGCCGTGTGGCTTGAGACAAATCCCTTCCCAACCTAGACAGCTCTACTTGGATGTGAATTTGCAGATGGAATGCAAGCAGAGACAAAGCCCTTCTTTGCTGCTCCATTGGATCAAAGATGCTTTCTATTAAGTGTTTTGTCAGATATGAGCCCAGGTTTCCGCTATTGGCACTCCAGTTGTTGTCCTTCCTGCTTCATTCATTAGAGTTCCTCTATACCAGGGAGCTCTTCTGGAAGTAAAGCAAAGAGGATGCTGAGGAGTGATCATGTCTAGGGCCCTAGTTGGCTTCCCATTCCATTTTGTGACCAGGGACTCAACAGGATCACCGGCAGAACTGGCCGAGGAACTCCCTAGAAACCTGTCGGATCTATCAGTCGTCTAGGGCTGACCATTCTAATAACTATCATCTCTACGAAGCAGAAGGAACAGACTAATCTTAGCTTTGACCAGGTAATGAACTGACCAAGCCAAGACTAAAGGTGTAGAAAGCTCAGTCTTCAGAACCCGTTGTTCAGAGCTGAATATAGCATTGGGTGTGTGTCCAACAGTATATGTAGATCCAGAGGCCATCTGGGAAAGGCCCATGGCTACCATGGTCATCATGAACTCATAGGCTACACCTGATAAACTAGACTCAAAAACAGTTCTCAAGTCCCCCAGGATTAACTATCTGGGGAAATTTAACATCACTTCCAAGATCAGTTTTGTGAGTATAGCCAGAGATTTTTAAATGCCAGTGTTTCTATATTCTCTGCTAAAGGGCAAATCCAAACATACCAAAAGTGGATGGATTCAGTCACTAGAAGGTGACATGCCAATTAAATAAATACTTTGTATCCATTTATATTAATTTTAGTTATGCAGTTGCTGAAAGAAGAAAAAAGGTTCCACAAGATACCATAAGACCCTCTCTGGCTTCAGAGCAGAGAGTTTGCACACTTCAAAGCTTATCACCTAGCCAGAAAGGCTGGAAACTTTTATAAAACAATAATAACAACTAATGTAAAAACTGAGATGTAAAACCTGGGATTCTGTTTTTTGCACCAAGGACAAAGTTCAGTATTTTTCAGCAGTTGAGTAGAGGCTACAGTGTGCACAGGCCTTGGATATATTGTTAAACTAAGGTGGTTCTTTTAACATGCAACCATTGTGTGCAAACACAGGACGACCTTCATATAATTTTTCTATCTCCTTTCCTTCTGGTAGGCAGATGGATACATACATGTGTCAAATGAGTGTTTGTTTTTTCTCTCTCTTCTTAGTACTCGTGAGAGTTTAGCTTCCAACACTTCAAGCATTGTTGAAAGCAACAGACGCCAGAACCCAGCTCTCAGTCCCGCGCATGGTGGTGCAGGGCCAATGTTCAGCTTCCGAGCAACTGCCGACCCTCCAACAAGTGAAACTGAAAAACTGCAGAAACCTGCTAACTGCCTGCAAGCTTCTGTTACAAGTGTTTGATAGTGCTTCTGCCTCAGATATTCTGTCTCATCCCATACAGCAAAGTTTACGACACTGGGACTGATGTTTACGTCTTTGGAAGGAAAAAAAAAGGCATCTCAACTGCACAGTTTTTGGGCCTAAAAACTGTGCTGCTACATAGGTAGGGGCAACAAGGAAATCTTTATTCAAGGTATTGCTTTTCACATTTTGCGGCTCTGTAGCGACAGAATAGCATAGGGATAATATGTACACTTTTGCTTCACTTAATCGTAACCGAGCACATATATGAAAGTCTAGACACTGTAAGTGTAATCTGCATTTTCAATGTCATGCAGTTGCCAACTTCATTTAAAAATGCCACAGATATGTGATGCCCCCTACCACAGAGTTGATTATTTTCCTTTATAAACTGAGCCTTCATTGAAAGTGAACAGCTAAGGGTCACCTTAAGGGGAAATGATGCCAAATGAGAGTAGGAAAGACCTCAGCTCTACCCGTGAATTATTTATACATCTGTCATTTTCACTGTGAGTCTTCATGACATGATCCTGCAAAATCCATAGCAAACGTAAGTCAAAAGAGGTCATGATTTAAAGATGAGGGAAGACGTGGGAGATAATGGAGATGTTATCTATTTTACTTATTTGATTTCTTTACAAATTATGAGATGTTTACCTAAAACTTATTTCTTAATTTCCCCTACTTGCAAGCAGGGATATAAGACTTTGAATTGAAGGAGAAAGCTAACTTTGGTTGAGGCACATCACTAAGTGATAGAAGAGGTAACAAATGGCTTTTTGTTAGTATAAATCAAGCAAAGTGTTACCCCAAATTATTATTAATATCCAGTAATTTTGAACGAAAAAGAAGAAAGCTCTTTGTGATACAAATGATGAATAATGGCCTGAAGAGTTGATTTCTTTCTATGGAAGGACATATTATATTTCTATTTTATGTAGCTTTTAGAGTGCCTAAATTAGGCTATTGAAACTAGCATACACTGTAGAGAACAGATTGAGAGACTAATAAACTTCAGGCCTTTTATTGAATTACATTTCTTTGTAAGTAAACATTGTATGGAAATACTTAGTTTAAGAACAGTCATATGAATTGAAATTAAATGTGTCAAGAAGGATCAGTGGAGAATGATTACTTGTCTGATCTTAGAGAATGAGAAACGATAAATACTGATTCATTGATGTATTCAAAAGCTTGCTAAGTTTTTCATTGACAAAGGTTAGTTCAATAAAAGACATCACTTTACCTCTCTTGTGAGTCTCACAAAATTGATAATAAAAGTGCTGTATCTAATTTGTATGTCCTGAAACTGGTAACCCAAAGTAATTTATTTTTAAAAAGCTATTCTAGATTAATGTTTGGAGAGATCCACAATTTCAAGCATAAACTTGAATCAAGGGCCAAATTTTGCTGTCAGTTTTTATGCAACCCCGTACTGCAGAAAACTTGTTTTCAAACAATCATAATGGTGGTACAAGTTAAAATATAAAATACAAGAAGAAAGATCAGAAGCAGTGTAAATTGTTGTATGCATTGACATTTACACTATCTTTTGTTGATATCGAGGTGATATGACCAAGCATACTATTAAAAACAGTATTTTCATCAGGTACCAGTGATGATTTGTATAACCCTTTCAGGCTTCATTTGTGTTCTGTGTTGTCTTCTGAAGGTGCACTCTTACCTTAAACCAGTTTTAAACCGCTTTCAGGTACTTTTGAAATAGCTTTATAGACACTGGGCACAATTGGTTTCAGTTTACACTTGGGTAGATTATTACATCACAGATTGAGAGGCTCTGATACATGTACAGGGGCTCAGCTGTATATACTGGAGTTCTGAACAAGCAAGAGCGGGGTTCCTTTCCTTCAGTGCTGGTGTGTTGAACCCATGTAATCCCATTGTGCATACTGAGTTTTTGAGTCATGTGAAGATACGAGTTGCACCCCTTATATAACAACCACTAAAGGATCATGTCTAGACGCTTTCTTTATTATCTTGTACAAATTCTGTTTGCTGTGAGCAGTAAGAAAGGGCTTAGTGCATAAAATGGGAACTATTATGCTGCTTGGTTGGTTTTCTTTTGGCCTCCCGCCTTATAAATACCTTCAAAGCTGTGCTATAATAACCCAGAAATTCATTGCCTGACACATCTTACTGCTGACACCTGTAACTCTGGGAGTATTTAATACATGCAGACTCCAGAGTCAGTTTTGGGGAGGAAATTTATATAACACTACAGTTGCTATTTTTTAAAAATTGTGACATACTCATATATAGTATGTATCAGTTTACTAATAAAATTGCTGAAATTATATCTTAATTTATAGCTGTAAACAAAATTAAAATACAGTATTAAAATGTGAATGGGGAAGTATTACCATGTAAATGGTGAAGAACTCTTCCTTTAGCTAAAATAATTGAATTTTATATATGTAGCAGTTATATAAAAGACATCATTCCAAAGTTATACAAAGAACTTTCCCTCAGTTGACATTCTGATGATCCCAAAGAAAGGCCTTAATAAGAGCTTTTAAAAGCTTTAAAAAAAGCTTTTAAAAGCTCTTATTAATGTGGGCATGGTCTGGTCAAGAATATATTTATGACATTTTATTAGTGATAATGTGACTCTCAGAACGTGTAATATAAACAAAAGCTATAAAAAAGCATATTGTGCATTCTTTTTGAAAGAAATATAAAGTCCATCATTAAGATTATAGATACATACTCACAGGAATGGAGCTTGAGTGTTTTTGTCACTGTCATCCTGTGATGAAATCATTATGACCTTATATGGTTGATCACCTATCTCATCCTCCTTCTAATGTATCAACTGAAAGGTTTACAAAACCAGAATGCGTTGAATCTCTATGTTGTATTCAACTTTAAAGGGTCAACACAAATCTGTCGGCATTTTGCACACTTGATATGTATTATTATAATACAACATGTTACTTTTATGGTAAAAATTTTTTACACATATAACTACCTCCATGAATTTGATGAAATGCAGCAACTTGTTTTTAAAAAAGGGTATTGTTAAGAGCAGCATTTAAAACTTTATGAAGAAAAAGGCCATGACGTTCTCTTGTGTGTCGGTGCTTGCGTATGAAGTCATTTTTCATTGCCATGATTTCCTGTTACTGTATTCAATTGGCTTTTGGCTTTAGTAGTACAGGGTTTTATACAAAGATCATAGAATCTTTTAGATAAACAAAATTGGGGATCAAAATTGTTGTTTGTCTTTCCATTTTTACTGAAGTTTCTACCTGGTAGAAAGTCCAGTGTTGCTTGTAATTTAGAAGCCTGTTAATATATACGGTATATGGAATATGATTGGCTGTTTGGGGCTTAGCAAAAGACACACCAGGTATTTTAATAGCCTCCATTTAAACACTTTGGGCCCTATTCTGCCTTCATTTATGGCAGCATATCACACCAGTGCTTAGCTTAGATCCTCATTTTTTTTCTGCCTTCAAATGGGTCACTGGTGCAATATGCTCTCCATTTTCTCAAACTTATGCATCTTGGGGCTTGAATACTGTAAAGTTCAATCTTTCTCACAATGAAGTAAATAGTTTGAGATCCTGACATTAATAGTAACAGTAACAGAAGTACCAAATAAGATGTTTTGGTAAGACTACCAAATAATAGTTTCCCTTTAGATAGTCAGTAGAATAAAGAAGTTGTTAAGAAGCTAATTACAAAGCCATCCTAAGTAGCAGCTGCCATTCAACAGCTGCAATTTTTATAGATAAGCTAGATGCAGTTTTAGGGTGCTCAAATCAACCCATGCCATTATCTCTCATATAATAAACGGGATAGGAGGGACACGATATAAGACACTTTTCTATTACTTGTAGTAACATTGGCTTTATTATACACAAGGCTGTGAATGTTCTGTGCCTGCAAAAGTCCAGATCCTACAGCAAAGTAATCCAGATTCTGTACCAGGAAGAGTTACATTTTTTCTCCTGCTAGCCTAGAAAAGTGAGGGGAAAGCTGAACAGAAGATAGAAGCTGCACATAGGACCCAACCACTAGCAGTAATTTTCAGAGCCATTCTGAAATTTTTGAAGCTCAGTTTTTACAGAGATTCCAAGAATGCAACATGCATTCCAGAGCCAGATTCAGTACTTGGGTGGTTCAGTCTTGCACACGTTGAATACACGCAGCCACTGAATATAAGTAAATTAGTATAAGATAGTTGCATATTTGGGAAGCATTCTTGTAAATCACCAGCAATAGTTGTCAATTAGATGAAATGACAGCTACTTTTCTTTTTTTGGCAGTTAGTGGGCATAAAGAGCAGTTCGTGAAAAAGTGGTAATATGTTGCACTGATATTGTGCCTTTTACCTAAAAATCTCAAGTGCTTCACAAAATCAACAACTAGTGGATATATATATATACACATATATATCATTGAAACCAATATGACTTACTTTTAAGTAAGTGTTCTGGGTTCATAAACTGTCAAAGTGATTGCCCTCTTCTGACTTTAAGCTATTGAGCTTCAGTGCACCCTTAACTTCCTACTTAATGAATCTTAGTTTTAACTTTTAAAATCAGTGTTAACACTGAAGCTATTAAACATTGGAAATAATTTTTGAGCCTTGCACCAGCAATTTTAGAGTGCCAAAATGTTTCACTTCCAGTAACACAGCATTCCAACCAGTGAAAAAAATTAAAATACAAGCACTAAAAGATAATTTACACAGGAGTTTTCCTAATATGAAATTGCTGTGCTGAGGAAATTAGAGTTTGCTGTAATTTATACTCCTCTCTGCTCCTCCATATTGCTAGCTGCTTTTTAAAAATCACTTCCAATCCTAATCAGATAAATAATTGTCCCAATCCAAATTATTTGATTTGTATCTCTTCAAAAATGCAGTACTTTCCTCTTCCCATTAGATAATCAAGGTATCCTTCCTTTGCCAAACAGGTGGCCAAATGTATAATACTAGATAGAGGTTTCTTTTTCCATCCTGATGCATTGATATTTGCTCTGCTGCAGATCCACACACTAGGTGTTGTCACTGGATTTGGACCATGAAATTAAATCAAAAATAGTGAGATGTATTTATTTGCTATTTTTCCAAATCTGTTGTTTCTTCCATTGTTGCAAATCATGCTTAATGCAATTGAAATAAGCAGAACATGTTTATCTTCCTTGCTTTAAAATAGTTTGAATATTCTGAGTTTTAAAAACTGTTTTATCATTCTGACATAGATAATTAACATGGCATTAAAATGGTCCCAGATCAGCCCAGTAGGATGAGCACATGGAAGTGTTTTGTGATGCATAGTCAGTAAATACAATGTAAGAGAGATGTGAAAGAGGGGATAGCTTGTCTGCGAAATTAAATATTTTGTACATTTGACCATAATATTGTAGCTAATCCAGGATCTGCAGGGACAGGGGACTTAAACACCAGGTGCCTGATTTTGGTGGGCATGAGGAATGAGTTAGAAAGGCCCATGATACAGTGTGGTCTTGCCCTCAGTGGGACACCTGGTATGCTGAAATCGTCTGAACTTCATGTGGTTAAGACAAAATATGGTGGCTATTCCAGCATCATGTGACTAAGAAGCGAAGGTCGTACTAATGTAATTGTAGCCTGTACAGAATGGCTGCTGCTTAAGTAGACAGGGACAGCTGAGTGGAAGATTTGCTTTTGTTGGGGGAAAGTTCTTGGGACACAGTTAAGCATAGAGCCATTGTGTTATCATATTCTGTCTGCCAGACTCTCATATGCCGAGTGTATGAACAAAGACACATCTCACAAATTCACCAGAGTGCCTCCACTGTGAGTTGTTCTGGGTACCTTAAGAAACATTAAGCAAACTACTCTCTATGAGAAACTCACCCACATACACCCCTCGATGCTACTACACAACCATGCAAAAGAATACCCTATACTCCAATTGGAGGTTACAGGGTGCTATTTATATATATATTAAAATACATCAGACACCCACCTTGAGCATACAAGAACTGAATAGGGCCCGTCAAGTATTTGGCACAGATGTTAACTTCTGTATGAACAAGAGACTTAACAGTTAAAGGGATCATAATTCTGCAGGTAACCTTCTGTGAGTGACTGAATGTGACTGTTGCATTAGGTTTAAATGAGTTAATAAATGCAAGTGGGACTTACTGTATGCTAGAAGGGAGTTTTGCAACCAAGACTGCCTTGTATAAATGTGTTTGCACTGAAAAATAAAATAAAATTACTTGGTCTCTGGTTGCTGTAAAGGTCATCCAAGCTGGATGTTCTGTTTATATTGTATAGTATTTCATATGAAATAATTACAGTTCATGAAATGTCTTCCCTTAACGTTACTGATTTATAACAGCACATTTGTGACATGGTTTTTATTGTGTCAGTGTACCATATTGTAAATGATGATAACTTGTCATGCTTAGTATAATAACTTAAAAAGAAAAAAGGACAGGGATTTTTGTAAGTCTATATTTGAAAGTCCCTCCATATGGTAATATTGTGTTCATGTTGTTTATGTAGTGTTGTGTGAAATATCCATTTTGGATTGTGTTACTTTTTAAAATATTAAATAACATTTGGTTATATGTTACGTTTTCCAAGTCTTTTTTATTTTATTTTGCAAATGCCACTGCTGTGGAAAAACTGTGTATGCTGGTTGTGTTCTGTGTTTTCAACTCATTTTATCATGCTCATGTTATAGTTTCTGTGTTAGAAATGGGAGTACTTTTGACTATGCAAAACTGCCCTAAGCTGTGTGACCATTACCCATCCAGCCAGCTACTATCTCTTCTTCAACCAGCAGTAGCTCTCTGCTCCAGCCTTCCCTCTTTAAGTACATTTAACTGTTCATGCAATACATGTGCAGTGACACTGAAGTGTAGGCTTTCCCCAAAGTAATTTCCTTCAAGGTTAAAGAAGATTTTTTAAAAAATAGTGGGCTGCCAAAGGAACACTCCAGGTGTCCCTCTTGATCATGAGCATAATTGCAGTAGAATTTGCCAAAGAAACTTAAGAACGCAGGTTTGTTAGTATATGAATCTGGGAATGATTGTGATGTCTTTTCTAACATAACAAAAATACTATGTTGCTGCAATTCATCCAAGCGTACTTGGATTGGCAGTGGCTCTCCAGACTTCAGTCTGGGAGGGAGCTTTCCTAGTGCTGGCAATTTAAGATCCTGTCACTGGAGATGTCAAAGCTGAACCTAGGTATTTTGGCACATTCAGCATTTTCTTTTCAAAGTGTATAGTGAAGAGATGGATATGCAAGAGTATTGTTACACCCATATCCTCACACAGAACTAGTATTTTATACTAGTATAATTGTCTTCTCAAACAACCCTAGGAATTTCAGTTTTGATGAGGATGCTGACAGACCCTAGCTCCCCACTCTGAACACAGTTTCAAGGAAGGAGTGACATAGAAACAGAAAAAAAGCAAGTCAGAAGGGTCCTCCAGGGCCATCTAGTCTGACCCCTAGCTCCAACTGGCTCCGCTCATGTAGTCCCCAACAAACCAGTAACTTGTGCAACATATAGGGAAAATATCCAATTTAGTTCCAGACAGGGTATATTCAGCATACACTGTAGAGTATTCCCTTGGACAAAACTGCTATTCCACTTTGTAAGATGGTTAGCTCAAGGAAAACGTATTTCTGCTGTATATACTGACATACATTCCTTCCTTCTGGAAATGGCTGGTGAACATGCTGATTGGCTTGAAGGAAATCCAGTCTCTCCTCTCTCCTCAAACTTTCTAACTCCTTCTCCCAAAGTATATCAGATTTTTTTATTTGTTTGCCCCAGCTTATTTCTCTTCATTCTGCAGCTTATTTCCTGAGACTTGATCCATTTCTTGCAGACACCTGCTCTTTCTCAGCCCAACCATCTTCCAAAGGTTGATCAAAATGGTAAAACTCATAAGTCTCCGAACAGAGTCTCTGTTAATTTCCACACCTTACTCTGCTTTTTGTTCCCTTCACTGCCCATGCAAAGCTATGTCTACTCAGAATTAAGTTCCATTCAGTAATGTGGTGTTTACTCCAGGTCAGTGGTGGGTATAGGATTCCACCCTGTGTGTATATTCATCTCTTGGCCAACCCCTCTCCGTTACTATCATGCTATTCCTTTGCTTGGAAGAACATCCTCTATCTTGACTGACTGTTATTGTTGGAAAACCTGCCACTTATGTAGACTTGGTAGCAAATTTAGGGAATATTCCTATGGATGATTGGACTGAAAAATATCCTACAGCTCCCAGCATTTTCAGTCTTTTTTCTGTCTAAACATCCAAAGGATTGTGCCTTTATACTTATGGCAGATGGGTGAAATGGTGTTCTTTAAAATTATCAAATTATTTTAAATAACAAACACATTTTATTTTATTGAAATAAAATTATATATTCCACCTCTGCAAAACTTGAGGCAAAGAATCTATATGGTAAGTGATTATAAACCAGCCAAATTTCAAAAGAATCTGATCTTTTAAAAATGTCTTGAATCCCAGCAATTTTAAAATTCTATTTTTGACAGAAATGTTCAAGCTTAAAACCATGTCTTTGTTCATCCAAGACATCCCTCTCCCCCTTGCCAGTTTAGATAATCTAAAACAAAATACATTTCAGGAGTTGTGTCCTTCCTAGTTTGGTGAAAACCATTGCATATTCATAAAATACGGTTTTAAATGCCTATATACGTTATTTAAGCAAGTCATACTGAAATGTAAGTTAGTTCCAGACTGACAGTTTGGATGGAGCCGCCTCCCAGTACAAAAACGGCCAAGTGGAGAAGGCATGTTCAATCTTGTAAATCTTGCAAAAGGATGGAGACAGGTGGGTAGATACTCCAATACCAGTCAGCCTGGTTTTAGTCTAGCACTTCATGCTTTGATGAGATACTCAATGAAATTTTCTTTGTTAGAGATTATCAGTGTACTAGAACTGTTTGTGTGATGATTAACAATTGCTATTACCATTTTTAATGTACAAATGTGTGTAAGATGTTTTCATGTTTTGTGACATAACCTAGATGTTTGAAAGCAGGGGTTTTCGAAAGCAGGGGTTTTCATTATTAGGCAGAGTCCTGAACTTGAACCTGAAGCACCTTTGTCCAAATTTATGCACCTTTCAGTGAATTGCTTAAACCCAATTAGTGAGTCATAAGCTGGGTTTACAGCAAAATGTTGAAGTTTGGGATGCTTTGGTTCAGCACTCCAATCATCGTTCCTTCAAGCATATGCCATTCCATTTATTTGATGCCCCCTCTGCCGCATAGACATTTGGCATTCTGTGCCCACTTAGCATTCTTCTAAGGTTTTTATCCCTTGCATTGCCCCATCTTTTTGTACTTCAGCAAACCTTTTATTCCATTTTGGCTATAATCTGAATCTTGCATTAATGTTACATCAGTGTTAGATAAGACATAAGCTTTTAAATTCTGAACTCAATTCTGATAACAAATTTCTTTCATAGCACCACTTCTGAATGTCGAATAACTTGATCTGGAATGATTGCAAAGATCTCTCTCATATATCATTTAGAATATTGACTGGCCTGAGTGATAAATGAGTCTCACTCTATAATCTTTCTCATATCTGCTACTGGAGAGATCCTGTTCTATACCCTTTTTGTGTTGCTATCTTTCTGGTTCTACTAATGAAAAACAATAAAATGTTGGAGCAGGATAAAAGGAGGTCCTTTCACATCATGCCCTGTAGCAGTTGAAGCTGCCAGTTTAAAGCAGTCTACAGCTGAACGGAGTCCTACTGTTGAACCAGACACACTATTCTGGAGGAGTTAACATTTGTGTTCGTGTCGCTTTCCCTAGTACCAAAAGAGCAATAACATTCCCTATGTGTTACAACTTTTTGTATGCAGATGCCATTCCATGATGTACCTAAACTGGTTTATTTTAACAGATGTTCAGGTAAGGAATTTTCTTCCCCTTTTTCCTCCCTCCCTCATGTGTGGGATTCTCTATAACTTGGGATATAGCAACTTATAAGAAAAACCCATATAGAATTGACAGGTTTGTCGTGAAGAATACCATATTTTAGACTTTGTCTTACAAAAGTGCATTATAGAACAGCATGTTTCAGTAATTTGTTGGCTTTGAAAGCCTGTGGGTGATTTACCAATTCGTTTTAGCTGAGTCTTGAACTTGAGCATTCTTCTTGTGTTTCATGCCATAAAGAAGTGGCATTTGGTGAGTTGTTTTTTAAGATCACTAAAAAGAAGCAAATGGTTTCATCAAGTTTCTAATTTTAGCTAAGTGTTGCTACAATCTGGTTACTTCAAGTTATCTATTAAATGAAAGAAAATAATCACTGCACAAGCTTTATTATCACTCTCTCTGTGTATTTTCTATACATAGAGAGACAGTGCAAAAATTTACCAAGGAGAAGGACAACAGTGAGTGATAGTCAATTGCATGTGTTCATTCGTAGATCCATTTAATCCTGTTTCACTATCAATCTGCAATTTCAAAAACTGGATAAAATTTAAATTCTTTTAAATGCATTTTTCATGCAATGCATGTTTTATATGCAAAACCTGATTACAACCTTGGTAGACCTTAGAAGAGAAGAGCAGGGGTTTCCGGGATTGAGGGGAAAATTTCAGGCCAGTTTCTGGGATTGAGGGGGAAAATATAACTGAGTGATATGTAATGGGGAGGACAACAAATAATACAACAAAAGTAGTAAGTGAGCAAAAATTGTAATAGGAATAAAGATGAAAGCATTGTACATCTAAAGATCTACAAAGAAAAAGAAACAAAGTAGAAAATCATAGATCAGATGTTCAAGTTCAGAGAGCAGTAATTTAAAGCTCAAAAATTGTAGGAATTTAAGAAGAGATGAAAGATAACTATGAGTGCAAAAATAGCTTGCGTGGGGCAAAAAGTGTTGACAGCAGCGTATATACTGAAGAAAAGGAAGAGCCTAGCAATTTAGAAAGTTAATCGAACAGACTCAGTGAAAAAAATTAAAGCATTAAAGGAAGCTCATATATCTCCTTTCTAAAGGTGGTAACATATATAAAGTGAGACCAAAGAGAAACTATTTGAAACCATTTCTCCTAGCAGTTTATAATTGTGGTAAGTGCCACCACTGTACTGAAGGACATAGAAATGTGCATTAAACACACATACCTGTGCTGATAGAGGTATCTGTTTTCAGAGGAATGACCCTAGATAAATCTGGCTGATTCAGGCCTTCTCCTGAATTCAGCTTTCTCACTGCTGTCCAATATTTGCTTGCCAAATGCTACTGTGGAAGAGCTGTTGGCAGGTTTCTCTAGTGCACCCACTGGCTCAGGCGGGGGACAGTGCCAAAATCTGGTGCTTCTCTGCCACCTGAGGTGGGGAGCTTACCCCAACTCTTGAGAGGGCTGGCCCTGCAGCAACAGGTTATTCCTGGGATTTCCTGCACCCATCCCTAGTACTGTGAGAACTGCAGCTGAGCTTGGAGGAAGTATTATCACCCCTGCAAGGCAAAACCTGATAATGCTTTGATCCTATGATTCCACAACACCAATAACCACATATCACTCCTCAGTTTGTTTATTTAAAACTTATATATGCAATCCT